CATGGAATGTTCTTCCATTTGTTTGTGTCCTCTTTTATTTCATTGAGCAGTGGTTTGTAGTTCTTCTTGAAGAGGTCTTTTATATCCCTTGTAAGTTGGATTCCTAGGTATTTTATTCTCTTTGTAGCAATTGTAAATGGGAGTTCACTCATGATTTGGCTCTCTGTTTGTCTGTTATTGGTGTATAGGAATGCTTGTGATTTTTGCACTTTGATTTTGTATCCCAAGACTTTGCTGAAGTTGCTTATCAGCTTAAGGAGATTTTGGGCTGAGACGATGGGGTTTTCTAAATATACAATCATGTCATCTGCAAACAGGGACAATTTGACTTCTTCTTTTCCTAACTGAATACCCTTGATTTCTTTCTCTTGCCTGATTTCCCTAGCCAGAACTTCCAACACTATGTTGAATAGGAGTGGTGAGAGAGGGCATCCTTCTCTTGTGCCAGCTTTCAAAGGGAATGCTTCCAGTTTTTGCCCATTCAGTACGATATTGGCTGTGGGTTTGTCATAAATAGCTCTTATTATTTTGAGATACATTCCATCAATACCTAGTTTATTGAGAGTTTTTCATGAAGGGGTGTTGAATTTTGTCAAAGGCCTTTTCTGCATCTATTGAGATAATCATGTGGTTTTTGTCATTGGTTCTGTTTATGTGATGGATCACGTGTATTGATTTGCATATGTTGAGCCAGCCTTGCATCCCAGGGATGAAGCCAACTTGATTGTGGTGGGTAAACTTTTTGATGTGCTGCTGGATTTTGTTTGCCAGTATTTTATTGAGGATTTTTGCATCAATGTTCATCAGGGATATTGGTCTAAAATTCTCTTTTTTTGTTGTGTCTCTGCCAGGCTTTGGTATCAAGATGATGCTGGCCTCATAAAATGAGTTAGGGAGGATTCCCTTTTATTCTATTGATTGGAATAGTTTCAGAAGGAATGGTATCAGCTCCTCTTTGTACCTCTGGTAGATTTCAGCTGTGAATCCGTCTGGTCCTGGACTTGTTTTGGTTGGTAGGCTATTAATTATTGCCTCAATTTCAGAATATGTTCTTGGTCTATTCAGAGATTCAACTTCTTCCTGGTTTAGTCTTGGGAGGGTGTATGTGTCCAGGAATTTATCCATTTCTTCTAAATTTTCTAATTTATTTGCGTAGAGGTATTCTGCCTTCATTTTGTTATTTATCCAGTAGTCATTCAGGAGCAGATTGTTCAGTTTCCATGTAGTTGTGGGGATTTGAGTGAGTTTCTTAATCTTGAGTTGTAATTTGATTGCACTGTGGTCTGAGAGACAGTTTGTTGTGATTTATGTTCTTTTACATTTGCTGAGGAGTGTTTTACTTCCAATTATGTGGTCGATTTTAGAATAAGTGCAGTGTGGTGCTTTTATATATATATATTCTGTTGATTTGGGGTGGAGAGTACTGTATAGATGCCTATTAGGCCCACTTGATGCAGAACTGAGTTCAAGTCCTGGATATCCTTGTTAACTTTCTGTCTCGTTTAGCTGTCTAATATTGACAGTGGGGTGTTAAAGTCTCCCGTTATTATTATGTGGGAATCTAAGTCTCTTTGTAGGTCTCTAAGGGCTTGCTTTATGAATCTAGGTGCTCCTTATTGGGTGCATATATATTTAGGATAGTTAGCTCTTCTTGTTGAATTGATCCCTTTACCATTTCGTAATGGCCGCCTTTGTCTCTTTTTATCTTTGTTGGTTTAAAGTCTGTTTTACCAGAGACTAGGATTGCAACTCCTGCTTTTTTTTTGCTTTCCATTTGCTTGGTAGATCTTCCTCCATCCCTTTATTTTGAGCCTCTTTGTGTCACTGCATCTAAGATGGGTATCCTGAATACAGCACACTGATGGGTCTTGACTCTTTATCCAATTTGCCAGTCTTTGTCTTTTAATTGGGGCATTTAGACCATTTGCATGTAAGGTTAATATTGTTATGTGGGAATTTGATCCTGTCATGATGTTAGCTGGTTATTTTGCCTGTTAATTGATGCAGTTTCTTCATAGCATCGATGGTCTTTACAATTTGGCATGTTTTTGCAGTGGCTGATACTGGTTGTTCTTTTCCATGTTTAGTGCTTCCTTCAGGAGCTCTTGTAAGGGAGGCCTGGTGGTGGTGACAAAAATCTCTCAGCATTTGCTTGTCTGTAAAGGATTTTATTTCTCCTCCACTTATGAAGCTTAGCTTGGCTGGATATGAGATTCTGGCTTGAAAATTATTTTCTTTAAGAATGTCTAATATTGGCTGCCACTCTCTTGTGGCTTGTAGGGTTTCTGCCAAGAGATCCGCTGTTAGTCTGATGGGCTTCCCTCTGTTGGTAACCCGACCTTTCTCTCTGGCTGCCCTTAACATTGTTTCCTTCATTTCAACCTTGGTGAATCTGACAATTATGTGCCTTGGGGTTGCTCTTCTCAAGGAGTGTCTTTGTGGTATTCTCTGTATTTCCTGCATTTGAATGTTGGCCTGCCTTGCTAGGTTAGGGAAGTTCTTCTGGATAATATCCTGAAGAGTGTTTTCTAACTTGGTTCCATCCTCCCCATCACTTTCAGGTACACCAATGAAACGTAGATTTCGTCTTTTCACATATTCTCATATTTCTTGGAGGCTTTGTTAGTTTCTTTTTACTCTTTTTTCTCTAATCTTGTCTTTTTGCTTTATTTCATTAATTTGATCTTCAATCAGTGATGTCCTTTCTTCCACTTGATCGAATCTGCTATTGAAGCTTTTGCATGTGTCCCGAAGTTCTCATGCTGTGGTCTTCAGCTCCATCAGGTCAAAGTCTTCTCTACACTGTTTATTCTAGTTAGCCATTCGTCTAATCTTTTTTCAAGGTTTTTAGCTTCCTTGTGATGAGTTAGAACATGTTCCTTTAGCTTGTAGAAGTTTGTCATTACTGACCTTCTGAAGCCTACTTCTGTCAACTTGTCAAAGTAATTTTCTGTCCAATTTTGTTCCATTGCTGGCAAGGAGCTGCAACCCTTTGAAGGAGAAGTGGTGCTCTGATGTTTGAAATTTTCAGCTTTTCTGCTCTGGTTTCTCCCCATCTTTGTGGTTTTATCTATCTTTGGTCTTTGATGTTGGTGACCTACAGATAGGGTTTTGGTGTGGATGTCCTTTTTGTTGATGTTGGTGCTATTCCTTTCTGTTTGTTAGTTTTCCTTCTAACAGTGAGGCCCCTCAGCTGCAGGTCTGTTGGAGTTTGCTGGAGGTCCACTCCAGACCCTGTTTGCCTGGGTATCACCAGTGGAGGCTGCAGAACAGTGAATATTGCAGAATGGTAAATATTGCAGAACATCAAATATTGCTGCCTGATCCTTTCTCTGGAATCTTTGTCCCAGAGGGGCACCTACCTGTTTGAGGTGTCTGTTGGCCTCTACTGGGAGTCTCCCAGTCAGGCTACATGGGGGTCAGGGACCCACTTAAGGAGGCAGTCTGTCCATTGTCTGAACTCGAACGCCATGCTGGGAGAACCACTGCTGTCTTCAGAGCTGTCAGACAGGGATGTTTAGGTCTGTAGAAGTTTTCTGGTTCCTTTTGTTCAGCTGTGCCCTGCCCACAGAGGTTGAACATATAGAGGCAGTAGGCCTTGCTGAGCTGTGGTGGGCTCTGCCAGTTTAAGCTTCCTGGATGCTTTGTTTACCTACTCAAGCCTCAGCAATGGTGGATGCCCCTCCCCCTGCCAGGCTGCAGCCTTGCAGGTCGATTTCAGACTGTTGTGCTAGCAGTGAGCATGGCTCCGTGGGCATGGCACCTGCCGAGCCAGGCACAGGAGGGAATCTCCTGGTCTGCTGGTTGCTAAGACCTTGGGCGAAGTGCAGTATTTTCCAGGTACAATCTGTCACAGCCTCCCTTGGCTAGGAAAGGGAAATCCCTCAACCCCATGCCCTTCACAGGTGAGGGGATGCCCCGTGCTGCTTTGGCTTGCCAACTGTGGGCTGCACCCACTGTCCAACCAGTCCCATTGAGATGAACCAGATACCTCAGTTGGAAATGCAGAAATCACCTGTCTTCTGCGTCAATCTCGCTGGGAGCTGCAGACTGGAGCTGTTCCTATTTGGCCATCTTGGAGGCAACCTCCAAATCTAAACTTCTATATGTTAAAAAATTTTAAGGACAAAATGACAAAGATGTAAAATGTTTGCAATAAGATTGCAAAGAATTAATTAACATCTCTAGAATATAAAGTGCTTATATGTACCAATAAGTAAAAAATTACTTTCTCAATAGAAAAATGAGCAAAGTCCATTTGACAAATAGATACTTCACTGAAAAAGAAATTGAAGTGGCTTATAAAATCTATGAGAAAACCGATTTCCTTATTAACTGTCAAAGAAAAATAAATGTGCATAACAGTGTTCATTCAGGTGTGACTTTTATATAAGAAACAAAGTTGGGACAACTTACATGTCCAGTATAAAAGGATGGTTGAAACTGTCTGGTTTGTCTATTTGGAGGAATATTATAGAGCCATGAAAAGAGTCAGATTTTAGAAGAATAATGACATGGACAAAAGCTCATGATGCAATGTGAAGAAAAAAGAGTGCACAGAAAACAATGCTGTCATGATCTTATTTTTTTAAAAAGCCTGTTTATTGAGAAAATAGACTTTTGGCAGCAAAACTTGATCTGAACTGACATGAAGCTATCCACTTTCTGTTACTTTTCTAGGCAAAAAACAAAACAAAACAAAACCAAGAACCTGATTTGTTAAAAGCTTTCAGGATAAAGCAAAAGATCATATTAAATTCTAAAGTAAGAGCTATCTTTAGTACAGTGTATTTTGCCTGAATCAAATCAACAGACCCTATTTTAATATAAATAAATGACAGGTTTTGAAGATAGATCTTTTTAAGTGTAAGAGTGTGCTATATAAAGGTACCATATGTCTACTTCAATTCTGTGTATTAGAAGAACTAGGCTTTAGATTCAAATATATATACTGTATATACTGATTTCACAAGTAATATGTAATGAAAATTATTTTCCAGTTTAATGAACATTATTCTGCAAGAAATCTAAATCCTCTGTCATCAGAGCAAGAGATTGGTAAGTTGTTTGAAGTTTGCTATATTTAAAAACATGTTAACTCGTTAGTATAGTATTTAGTTTCTCTAACTGATTTTCTTAGGTGCTCAATTTATTCTTTAGAAATTACTGTTACTTCTGCACTACTCACTGATATTATTTTCTTTCTTTTTTAAAGCAATTTGCTTTTCTCACTACTCTATTAAAACTTACTTTCTCCAAGGTTATTGACCTCCCAATTATCAAACATTATGGGTATCTTGTATTTATTATCATATTAAGACTCTTTGCAACATTCGATATAGTTGATTATTTCCATCGTTTTTCTGTAATTTTTGGATTTCCTTTTCTCTCTTTGATACTTTTAATTGGATATTCTTTCTTTATTTTTCCTTTGATTGATTAATTCATTCAACATATGAATATAAATGTGTATGTGTATTATATTTTTTATATCAGGTATGCGTTTGGGCTCTGGTGACAGAACAGTGGACAAGGGTGAAAAATTCTCATATGGTTTATGTTCTAGTGTGAGAAACTGAAAGTAGACAAATAAATCAATGTATAATTTATCAGATAGTACACTAAACAACAATTGTTATGGACTTGAATAGTCAGACTCACATATTATGATTTTTAATCTAATATTACCTTTATGTTATAGAATGATACAAGATAAGAGATAATGGTAGGTACAGCATCCTTGTTTCATTGAAAGGATCACCAACTACCCAAGTAATACACCTTCTTTTGCCACTGCCACCCAAGGAACATGTCAGGCTGCTATGGACAAAAGGCATATTTCATGTAGGTCACCTTGACACAAGAGAGATGTAACTTCAGTTTCACACCAGTCTTTTATACTTTTCTAGTCATGACGCCCAAGGCCTGTATGCTAACTCATAGCTCCTCTAATTCAGGTGCAGTCTCACACAGCAGACTAGATAGATAAAACATTCTATGTTTACCTTAATTCTGTGAAAACAGTGCTGTGGGAAGTCAGGCTTCAAGTTCATTTTTCCAGGTGGGCCTGAATCTGCCCAGGCTTGATGTTAATGCTTTACTTATTATTGGTGATAAACACTATGCAGCAAAGTAATGTATAGTAAGGGAAATGGGGAATACTTGGATTGGGAAAGTGATTGCTGTATTGCAAGGGAGTCAGGAAAGGCATCACTAAAAGTCAACATTGAGCAGAAGGAGGTGCAGATACAAGCTACTGGGAAAAGTGTTCCAAGCAAAGGGCAAAAAGGTCTTGAAATGGGAACATACCCAGTATGTTCACTGAAAATTAGTTAAATTGGTATGCTTTGTGAAATAAGGAAGGAGAGACTGGTGGGAGATTAAATCCAAGAGGTGGATGGAGAGCAAATCATGTGGGACCTGTAGATCATTAAGGACTTTGGGGGTTTTTCTCTGAGTGAGATGGAAAGCCTCTGGAAGGTTTTAAGTGAAGGACTGAAGTGATCTGACAGGTTTTAAAAGGGTTATTCTGGCTGCTATGTGGAGAACAGACTATGGAAACAAGGGCAAAAGCAGGGAAAGGTCAGGAAGCTATAAAATGACACAAAGTGAGAACTGATGAGTAGTAGTAGAAGTGGTGAGAAGATGTCAGATTTTGGTTACAAAGTTTTCTGAAGATAGAGCTGGAAGAATTTGCTTATGGACTGGATATAAGGATTGAGAGAGAGAAACAAGGATTGTGCCGTGGTTTTGACATGAATAACTTGGAATGGAGTTGCCATTTATAGAAATATGGAAGGCTGTAAGAGTAATTTGAGATTGAGGAGCCAGGGGTTTCATTTAGGAAGTGTTTTAATTGAAAAGCCTATTTATTCGATATCTAAGTGAAAGTAAAGTAGGAAATTGTACATATGAATTTGGAATTCAGTGAGATGGAGACACAGATTTTGGAATTTTTATAAATGGTATTTAATGCTATGAGATCAGAATGAATCTACCAATTGTATTTATTAAATGTCTACCATCTAAAAATTTAAATCTATTTACATCCTCTTTTTTGAGACAGAGTTTCACTCTTGTTGCCCAGGCTGGAGTGCAATGGCACGATCTCGGCTCACAGCAACCTCCACCTCCTGGGTTCAAGCGATTCTCCTGCCTCCGCCTCCCAAGTAGCTGGGATTACAGGCACCCACCACCATGCCCAGCTAATTTTTTGTATTTTTGGTGGAGACGGGGTTTCACTATGTTGGCCAGGCTGGTCTCAAATTCCTGACCTCAGGCGATCCACCCACCTCCACCTCCCAAAGTGCTGGGATCACAGGCGTGAGCCACCGTGTGCAACCCACATCCTCTTTTTTGACACTCTCATTCATTTGACACTCATTCACTTCAGTGTTTTCAAATATACTACATACAGATAATGACCAAATTTATATCTTGCTGCACTAACTTCTAAACTCTAGGACCTTATTTCTGATTGTACAGTTTAAATCTCTTCAGACATCTTTTGACATTAAGAACTCAGTGTAGCTGAAATCAAACTTGTTCTCCTTCTGATGTCCCTGATGGTATCTTCATTATTCTAGCTTTTAATGTTTGGAGCATAGTAACAATTTTAACTTCTCTCTGTGACTGTGACTGCATTCAACTATTCATCAAGTTCTGTCAGTTCTCTCTCTTAAATATTTATTTTTATTTCTATTTTCATGGAAACCATTATATTTCAGAGTCTTACTATTCACTTGGACTGTTACAATAACATCCTAATTGGTGTTTTCCGTTTTTCAGCTTACGTATAGATCACAGCTTACTTAATTAACCTTCAGTGCCCATAATGTTGGCCATATCGTCACTGCGCTAATCAGATACCTTCAAGTGACTCCCCCATTGACTATCAAATTATGCTTCTACTTTTCTAATTTAGCTCCAACTACCTGTTTTGTTTTTTATTGGTATATAGTTGTACATATTTATGGGGTCCATGTGATATTTTGATACCTGCATACAATGTGTAATGATCAAATCAAGGTAATTGGAATATCCATCACTTCAGACATTTATCATTTCTTTGTGTGGGGAACATTCCAAATCTTCTCTTCTAGCTATGTCAAAATATACTATAGATTCTTGTAAACCATACTACTACTCTAGAACTTATTCTTAAATTCCATACTAGAACTTATTCCTTTCATCTAACTGATTTTTATACTCATTAACCAATCTCTATTCATCCCCCAACATACCTTTTAAGCCTTTTATCTTATAAGAGTAACCTGTGCTTTGACCAGACTCTGGAACTCAGTGTGTCTCAAGTATGCCCACAATTTCTTACCTGCTTTTTACTTCTTGCAGTCCTCAGCTTATATCTCTATCTTTCAAGATAGAATTCTTTTCTGTAATACCTTTTATTTATCCCCTCAACCTTCTTTTTCAAAAAGATCTCTCCCTCTCTTTTCTGAATATCTCTTCTTTTTTAATACTTTTTTAGCATTCTACCATCATTATTTATAAATAGATACAAAGTCTTCTCTAGATCACAGGTTTTTTGAGGGCAGGGATTTTTAAATGTACCTTTGAATTCCCCACAGCACCTATAATGCTGCCTTGCACAGTAATGTGTTCTTTTATTTACAGTGATCATATGAGTTTTATGAAGACTTCATATGAACTTCTTGTGAAATTAAAAACAAAATCAAATTCATTTATTCAAAAGGAAATTCAAGATTTTAGTTCTTTTTGGATCTGTGTTTCCATTATACCTATTTTTCTTTAAGTCATATGGATGTGTACTGAGAAATACACATAGTCCAAAAAATAAAGTGAGAAAGGGAGAGGGGAAGAACACAAGTATCTGGTAGTCAGTCTGTCCATCTATCCATCTGTTTGTCCATCCATCCATCTATCCACCCATCTTATTGCTGGTTGGTTTGGTTCTATTTAGGGTGAAATAACTGAGATGTTTAAAAATAAAAATAAAGTTATTAAATATATGAAAGTTTAAAAAATACATGAAACATTCAAAGTGATGCAAAGTAAATTATTTTGCTTAATATGCTATTTGATTAATTCTATATAAAAATAGATATTTTAAAAGACTTGTTTCAAGTACATATTTGATTATTGTAGATTCAAAATTATTTAATAATTTTAAATTAGAATTAGGATGTTGAAAATATATTTGTATATTTATAATTTTATTAATAAGTAATATAATAAATTAAAAACAGTATTTTTCCTTAATGGCAATTCTGGGCTTCATCAACCAGAGCTACATTTAAAGCTTGTTTTAAAAATTCCTTTTGGAACTCTTTTTAATGTTCTGTCAGTTTCCTTGAACAATGCCATGGACAGTATATTGTAGTGACTCAATAAATAATAGTTGAATAAGTTTAACTTATACAGTATCTCTCAGATTCAGCATTTTTTCCTCCATTACCATCGCTATGATTGTAGATAAGGTCAGCCTTTCATTACGTCTTTACTGGACAATGGACTTTTATTTTATTTTGGTTAGTCCCACTTTTAGACTCTCTTGTTCCAGCCTTTATACCTATTCTCTCTTGAATAATACTTACACAGCAGTTCAAATCATGTCATATCTCTGCTTGAAAATCTTCAATGAATTCTTGTTATCTACTAAGTAAAGTCCAGATTCCATAGTGGGACATTCAGCAATCTTTCCAAGCTCATCTTCATTAATTTCCGCTTAATACATCTTTATTATTTCTCACTGCTCCTGCTAAGCTGAATAGATTTCTGTTACTCTAATGCATCCTTTGCATGTCTGTTTCTGTGCCTCTGTGTCATTCTCTTCATTTGAGGCGTTTTATTCCACTTTTTACTTTTTATACTAGTTCTTTATATACTAGAGTTCAAATTACTTGAAAATAGGGTTTAAGTTTGAGTCTGTTTTAATCTTCATAGTACCAAGGACAATGTCTTGCACTTAAGAGGAATACAGTTAAATACCTGCTAAATAGAAGAATGATTGAGTGTTACCATATTTATTGTATGCAGTATGCTATAATTCAGTAGGTTATAAAAATTTTATATAAGATGAAGAGCATGATATTGTAATGTTTATCTTCCTTAGGAAACTTATTTGAGAAGCCAGAAGGAGAAGATGGCTTTACATTTTCTTTTCCATCAGACACTTCAACTCATACATTTGGAGCTGGAAAAGATGATTTTAGTTTTCCATTTTCATTTGGACAGGGTCAAAATTCAATACCTTCTTCTTCTTTAAAAGGTTTTTCATCTTCCTCACAAAATACAACACAGTTTACTTTTTTTTGAGCTAGTCATTAATTCCTTGAATTATTTTACTGTTCTGTATTCATGAGGGCATACATTTACATTATTGCTTAAAACATGAAGACTGCTTTATTTTGTTGATTAAAGCAGTAATGTTTACATTATTTGATTATATTTATTGAAATATTGAAATACTGAATATTTTGGGTTTTGTGTGTACTATTAACTAATCATTTATTTTGGTCTGGATTTTGTGAGCTGTGTTCAGGTAGAACTTTTATTAATCTTAATAGAATTTGAGGCTTTTTTCATTACTCTTTATTTTAAATATTAAGCCTGCTTCTCCTTGGAACCTAAGGTTTTTTCTGGTAGTATTGTTGGTACTTTGATAAGAACAAGAACTGCAGTAGTAACTCCAGAGTTAGTGCTGAAGTGTACTTTAGCTACTAAAAATTTCTTTTAAAATTATTGGGATTCACTTCTGCTTCACTATGTAGTATACAGAGTGGTACTATAATAATAATTTCAAATAATTTATGTTAATAACAAAATCTGTGTTATTTTCTTCTAATATAACACATGGTACAATTCTAATTTTATGAGTCATGCTAATGCCTTCAATGGATAAAAATTAAATGTGAAGGGCAAGAGTAATTTCTGAAAATTGGATTGTTGTATCAGTGGTGATCCTGTTAATATTTTTTTTTGCTTAAATATTTTTTGAGGAACATTTAAAATTTTGTCTCCGTCAATAAAAAACAATTTCATCTTTATGTTTTGTGTTCAGTATTTTTCAATTAATTATATAGCTTACATAAAGATATTTAACATTTGATGAACTTCTGTAAACATTTTGCTCAATATCATTGTATTTTGTGCTTTGTAAATTAGCTATATTGAGTTACCAAGTACTAAGGAGTTTGACTCCTTATTTTGATGTAACTGTTGATGAGTTTTTAAACCTAATCCCTTCTTTTCTCTTTCTACCCCACATCTGGTCAAGTTGATCAGAAAGCCTGGTTGCTTCTTCCTTTGGTGCCAGTAGGAAGTTCAAACCACATATGGGAGCCCCCACCCAGCCCCACCCCCTAACTACCATAAAAACTGAAAGCCAATCTTCTTTCCCTACTTCTCAAGCTATTTTTCAGTTCAGCTTAAGAGGCCTGCCCAGCTCTCCCTAGAAGGCCTTAATATATGACTAGAAAAATCTTTTAATACCCTATTGGGATGTGTGGCATCATCAGTTTCAATATGCAGATCAAATTTTGAGTAAGGGTCTATACTGCTTTTTCAGGGTGTCTACAAATTATCACAGTTGTATTACATTAAGCTGTCTCAAAGACTTAAAAAGGATCTCCATCTAACTAATGATAGACTTTAAGAAAATTTTAGACTCTGTTAAAAAAGAACCATCAAACTTTCAACAACTGCTTAAAAGATGAAAATTTCAGTTAAAAAGCTGGATTTTCTTTGTTTTTTAAACAGGTATTTATCTTATTGACTCTATGATTGAATTAATTGGTAGTTTTGATATAATAAAGACATTGGCTATATATGAGACAGGAGAAAAAGTTACAATTTGTTTGTTTATTGAGAAATTCAAAACTAGTTTTAGCCTTGAATGATTCAGTGATTCCATGGTTTATTTTTACTTTAAATAGAGTAATGTCTAGCACATCAGTATGGTTATATTTATCATGTATCAATAAGTGATATGAAATAAGTATTTTAAAAGTATCTACAGTGCACATGGCATTTTGACAGCATATAAAAGACTAGAACACAGATGTGGTCTTATACTCAAGGAACTTATAACTTGATTGAGTAGACAAAACTTGGGAAATAACAAAAGCACATTATAATAACTATATTATAACGATAATATAACTATGTTATTATAACAATAATATAATAACTATATTATTATAATGTGACTTTTGTTATAGAAGAGACCAAGTGCTTTAAGAATGAGGGGGAAAAGGTCATCATGGACTGGAAAACCTGGGAAGGATTCACCAAAGAGGTAGAATTGAATTAGGACTTTATAGGTATGTAGATTGTAAAATTTTCAAGTGTAAGATTGATGCTTTTTTAGCCTTTTGTGTTTTAATTACCTAACTAGTTGTTAGTCTTTAGTAGGATTGCATTAAACAATTATTGAATTAATAGAATTTAACTGAATTGGTAAAGGAGACAGAGCTTTCTAGATAAGGGGACTAATATGATCAAAAGAAAAATGCAATCACATATTTACTATTAATATGTGTAGAGGAAATTAAAGAATAGGCCTAACTGGAATGAAGAATAATATCAGGAAATTGAGTTTAATAGATATGTGTTGCAGGAAGTCAGGGACCCCAAATGGAGGGACCAGCTGAAGCCATGGCAGAACATAAATTGTGAAGATTTCATGGACATTTGTCACTTCCCCAGTCAATATTCTTGTGATTTCCTGTGCCTGTCTTTAATCTCTTAATCCTGTCATCTTATTAAGCTGAGGATGTATGTCACCTCAGGACCCTGTGATAATAGCTTTAACTGCACAAATTGTTCATAAAGCGTGTGTGTTTGAACAATATGAAATCTGGGCACCTTAAGAACAGGATAACAGTGATTTTCAGGGAACAAGGGAGATAACCTTAAAGTCTGGCTGCCTGTGGGCCGGGCAGGACAGAACCATATTTCTCCTATTACCGAAAACGGGTAAGAGAAATATCGCTTAATTCTTTCCCCAGTAAGGAATGTTAATAATTAACAGCCCTGGGAAAAGAATGCATTCCCGTGGTGGGGGGGGCTCTAAAATGGTCACCCTAGGAATATCTGCCTTATGCAGTTGCAGATAAGGGATGAAACACGCCCTGGCCTCCTGCAGTGCCCCCAGGCTTGCTAGGATTAGGAAATTCCAGCCTGGCGAATTCTAGTCAGACTGGTTCTTTGCTCTTGAACCCTGTTAAAATGTTTATCAATGACAATACAAGCACAGTGGGACAGGGAACCTCATCAGTAATGCTAATTTTGCCTTTGCCTTGTGACCTTGCCCTGACCATTTGCCTTGTGATATTTTGTTACCTTGTGAAGCATGTGATCTCTGTGACCCACACCCTATTCATATACTCCCTCCCCTTTGAAAATGACTAATAAAAACTTGCTGGTTTTGTGGCTTGGAGGGCATCACGGAACCTGCCGACACGTGATGTCTCCCCCAGACACCCAGCGTTAAAATTTCTCTCTTTTGTACTCTTTCCCTTTATTTCTCAGACCGGCCAACAGTCACAGAAAATAGAAAAGAACCTGCGTGAAATATTGGGGTTCCCCTGATAGATATGATAGGATTGATTTATAGAGGATCTTGAAATGTTTTGACTTGGTTTCTGAGGCCAATACAGAACTTATATTTTAATGTCAGAGTTTCAAGAGAAAATAAATGACTAGGAAAATTAAACTTACAATACAGCCACGGTTAGGAGAATTTAGAGTTGGATAAACAAATTAGGAGTCAATTGTAGTGGTCCAAGTGTGTAGTGATATGTTCCAGGTGATAACAACTGATTGTCTTGTGGTTTCACACTGCTGACATCTCAAATTGAAAAAATATATCTTGTTTAAAAGAAATACATTTGATTGAACACCATCTGAGCATAAGGTAAAAGGAGAAAGGAACCAGAGTTGTTTGTGTTTGAATATCATAGCTTATCCAACTAGTAGAGGCATATGCAATGTTTCAAATACAAATCACAAAAATAACTTTGTGTAATCAAATAGCCTTATAAAGATAACTTTTAAAAGATAATTATTCCCCTAGAGACAAATCAAATATTCTATCACCTTTAAAATAGGAGTTTGTTCCCACTTCTATTCAGTGAGATTTCAGAAATAAGGGGTCTAGCCCCAGAGCTCTCTGTTAAATTTAGAAGAAAAATAGACACTGTATATCTAATTTTGTTTAGGTCCAAAAAATCTATTTTAATATTGTTAAATGAATTTTTTCTCTATGATTAGAAAAGATATTCTAAGAATATAAGAGTAATACTCCAAAATCAGTTAAGACTCTTGATTTATTGTCACAAGAGGTATATGTATAAGCAGACAGTGGTTCCTGGCACATAACTGCTTCTCAGTGGACAGACCTAGGATCTGTCAGTAGACACACCTAGGAAATATATGTATGTATACTATATCTATATACATGTTTGTCGGTGTATCTAACACTGAAAAAAAAACACGAGTTTAGGCTGATAACTCTAGCAACAAGAGGTTCATCTAGTATTCCCCTTTGGTTTATTTGTAACTGCTTTCTCTGACAATGAGAAACCTGGCTGTCATTAACTACAATTTATTTTCTTTCTTTTTCAGTCCTAGTATACATATAAAGTTCTTTCTAAATTGGTAACCCAGATGCTGTGATAAACAAATTTATCAACTAGGGTATGTTAGTGTTCTGTGACTGCTATAGCAAATTACCATAGCCTTTTTGGGTTGAAACAATAGGAATTCATTCTTTCATAGTTCCAGAGGCGGGGCATCCAAAATTGGTGTTACAGGTCAAAAATCCAGGTGTCAGAAGGATCATACTTTCAACCCTCTAGGGAAGGATCCATTCCTTTCTTCTTTAAGCTTTTGGTGCCTGCTAGCATTTCTTGGCTTATAGCTACATCACTCCAATTTTCAAAGCTAGTCAGAATTCGACAGAGAAATAGAACCAATAGCATCTATCTATCTGTCTATATCTATCTATCTATCTATCTATCTATCTATCTATCTATCTAATCTATCCATCCATTCATCTAGATTTATTTTAAGGAATTGGTTGTTAAGATTGTAGAGGTGGCAAGCCTGAAATCTGTAGGACAAGCTGGCAGGCTAGAAATTCAGGTAAGAGTTGATGTTTCAGTTGAGTTCAATATCAACAGAGCAGACTAGGGAGGCTGGGAACTCAGGCAGGGTTTCTGTGTTGCAGTCTCAAGGTCAAATTCACTCTTTAGGAAACTTCAGTCTTTGCTCCTAAGGCCTTCAACTAATTGAATGCAGCCTACACATTATGGAGAGTTCTGCTTTACCCAAAGTTACCAAAGTCTAACTTAATCATATCTAAAAATACTTTTGCATCAACATCTAGAATGGTGTTTCACCAAACAACTGGGTACCATAGCATATCCAAATTGACATAAAATTAACCACCATAGCCAGCATCTTCAAATTTCTCTTTGACCTGCCTTCACATGGCCTTCCCTCAGTGTATGAAATCTCTCCCACTGCCTCCCTTTTATAATCGTAAATGTGATTGCATTTAGGGTCTATCTGGATGGATAGTTCAGATAATCTCCCCATTTCAAGATCTTTGACTTAACCACATCCGTAAAGCCCCATTTTTTCCCATATAGGTAACAATCACAGATTCCAGGGATTAGGTCATGGAAATCTTTTGGGGGACCATTTTCAGCCTATTACATAAGATACAGTGTTTGTGTGTATTCTTTATCCAGTTACAGCAATATTTTCCAAAGTTACTTAAGTTAGCTCCTATATTCTATACCCCCTTACATTTGATTGTGTCATTTATTTATAACACAGGTTCATTTGTGGCCATCTACATTCCATCTTGGGTTTATCTGAATTACTTCTTGGTTTAAAAAATTGTATACAGTAAAATTCCTTCTGTAAACCAAAAATAAAATTCTAAGCTTGCCACTCATCTGAATGGATCCTTCCTATCATCAAGGACATTCCAAAATTAACCTGAAAAACTAATTTAGGCCATGATGGGAAGGGAGAGCCAGACAAGACTCATTATACTCTCCTCCCTTTTGGAATTACTGAGAGAACAGGCTCTTAAAGTCTGATAAGAAACATTTACAATCTATTCTCTCTGAAGCCTGCTACCTGGAGGCTTTATCTTCGTGATAAAACTTTGGTCTCCACAAC